AAAAAATGCATCAAGAAGGTAACTTTAACGAGGGCAAAAATGGCCAAATGCATCAAGAAAGGTACTGATCAAGGGCATAATTTAATTAGTAAATGATCTACAAGGGCAAAATTAATTAGAAACGAAAAATGTCCTTGTAGATCACTTCAAAATATAACCTAAAATGTAATCTAATTTTGGTTACTTTTTAAAAATGTATCCAAATTTTCAGTTATTTGTATCCTCGAAATGTATTAAAAAAGTAATTTGTGCAGACAGATTTTGCCCACCATAATTTTAAGAAGTGACCGATCTACATCGGTTAATTATTTAACCGCAAGTGGGAAGTATAATCGGATTTCATCCTCATATTGTCCACTTGTGAAGCAGATAACATTAGAAAAGAACCTTCAGTCTTTTCTTAACAAAGTGTCTTTATTATATTCTGTTATGCTTCTGCCTATCTGTAGACAAATATTTTGTTGATTATACTATTTATATGAATATCTTATACCTGATTTTATGATTTTTGATTTTATACATTTTGCCTTAATATCGGCCTATTATATTAAAAATTTTCGACTAGTGTAATATCATATCGGATACTTGGACACCAACCTCATAGGTCTCCTTACCAACTTGCATAACAATCTCCTGGGTCTTCTTACTAACTTGCACACCAAGCTCATGGGTCTCCCTACTAACTTACACACCAATCTCATTAGTTTGTTTGCTAGTTTGTTCACTAATTTCATATATATTTTCAAATTCTGTTTCATAAGTATACCATGTACGAGCCTGCCTTTTAACAAATTCATTGTCAAAATTATTACTATTTTTTTTCATTTTTGATTACTTCTTTGGTTAGAAAAATTTGAATTTAATAGCATTTGACACAAAAAATTAGATACAATCAATTGGTTATAATGCTTTTTGCATAAAGAAAAATCTTCTAAATACGTTTGAATTTGAACCAATTTTGGAAAAAAATTATTATATAATTGAAGACGATTTTTTGGTAAATTACTATCTGCATGTTGTATAATTTGTGATTCCTTAGTCTTACATTCCAATAAACTAATATTACTATATAAAGAAACCAAATTTGCAAGAACGCAAGGTAGATCTTTTGCTCGCAGTCGTTAGGAAGCTTCCACAAATAAAAAAAATTTTTTTTTAGGCTTAGCACTAATAGAACTTGATATAAGCAAGGTAATCAAACAAATTTACTACATACTAGTTAGATTATATGATTCTCAGAACTTTTTATAGTGATAGTGAAAAAGGACCAAGTTTTAAAAGTATTTCTGAATCAACAAAAAAAATGCCCGAGTTTTTGAGCTAACAAAAAAAAAATCACACAGCACTAGCGAGTATCAGAGTGCACATAATGTCAAAACAGTTATTAGTGTTAGTAAATGAAATACTGTTTTTTGTGCAAGTAAAGCAATAAAGAATAAAGCACTCACGTATTTTTTTTTTTCTTATTTTCAATTATATAATGAGTTCCCAATAAAGTGTTGAACTAAAGTAGGTGAAATTTCTAATGGAAAACAAAATGCAAACGTTGATTATAGTATTAAGAATATGGGAACACCGGCAGCAACATAAAGAATAGTGCTAGACACTAGCTTTCAAACGTATTTCTAAGTAAAAAAAGGTTTAATAACAAGAAAAACTTGTATTTTGCTATGGCTATAAACTTTGAATCCGAATTGATTTTGGGAAAACATCAATTAATTATGAAACCTTTTTGTTTGGACTTCCTAGTTTTATAAGAATTCATTATATTATAAGTGCAGTTTTGCATAAATTTATTATGTGAAACCCATAAAAATGTTTAAAAAATGATGTTCAATTTTCTAGATCATCATGTTCGTGTAATGTATCGTATTCTGAAATTATCTGTAATATATGTGCCAAATATAGAAATATCACTGACTGATATATGTTAAATAATACTAAAAAATAATAACTAACTAGAATATATGAATAAAATATAATAATAATAATCAAGAAAAATAAGAAAAAGAAATTCTATTACAATATATAATTTTAAAATTTTTATCTTCTCTCCCTCCCTAAAAAATCACCTGATTTTTGTTATGTTTCTAACAAGATTATATAAACTTAAAAATTAATAAAAATACAAAGAAGAATACCTCACCTTAATACTGAAAAAAAATAAATAAATAAACTTGTCTATTTACTGTATATTACCTTAGTTAAATTATTATTTTTCACTTTCTTTTATATTTTGTTTTTCAGAAAATAGAATATACAGTAGTTGGTTTAGTAGTTTCACAATTTATACAACACTTAGAATTATTTTTTTACTAAGCAAATTTAACACGAAGATCGAATGATTCAGAGTGATTCAACTGATATTATGATAGTTGGCTTAGTACTCTTGACTGGGTTCACAAAAAAGATTATCTATGTGATCCCGAAAAAAGTATATAAAAAATTTTTCAATTCAATTGGATCACTTGTGTACTGTTCTACAAACTCGGGGCATACTCAGGACGTTTCTACCTCGAAATAAATGTACGTAAAGATTCCGAGATATGGTATATAACTAGCTAATGTCTTTCTTATCTAGTACCACGTATTGGAAATATAAATGGTAATGTTTGTATACCCTCGTTAATATCAACTTATTTGAATCGGTTTTAAATCATGTTGATAGTGATATTAGTGAGAAATCGTTTTAAAGTTGAAATGTATGAGGGAATTTTATATATACAGTAAAATTTTATAAAAAATTTGGTTTGTTGCTTAGGGTAATAGTAAGGAGGTTGATAATAACTGGAGTAACTTGTATTTTGATATGATGTAAGTTGTCAATTTGACTTGTTGGTTAATTTTGCGTAAGTTTGAAATTATATTGGTTATAAATTTGAATTTTTTGATAATTTGATAAAATTGGTGTAACTGTTTATTTTATTTTGAATTTATTTATAAAATTGTAAGATAAATTTTCATTGTATTTAATTGGGTGATTGGGTTTATTAGTTTTTAATTGTTTGTGAACTGAGTATGAAGTTATGTAATATTTATAAGTTATTTTTTGATTATATAGTTTTAATAATTTGGGAATTTTTTGATAAAAATTTTTGTTTATGTGTATTAATGTTAGTAGAATAGTGGTAATCAGGGCACAAAATTTCTGAGCGATGTAACCTGCTTTTTTGTGAGCAATTTTTTTTTTAATTGGAAGTTCAAACATAATGATTAATAAAATTTATCCAAGTAATATAAAATTTCTGACTGATGAAAATCGAGGTGAAAATTGTCTTACGTAAATAGAAATTTTTGAAATTTTACAATAAGTTTTGTGCTCTGGTGGTAATGATGGTGTAAGTATTACTTGATGACTTAGTTAGATAAAATTGTTATCTAGAAAGTTTCGAAAGTTATGTAATATTGTTAAGTTATGGTATGTTAATAATAATATTTAATAATATATTAATTGATTTAGTAAATAGTTTTTTTGTTTGATTTTGCAAATTGAGAAGTGTTTATTGTAATTGTGAGAAATTAAATATTTTTTTAAAAGTATTAAATTTAAAAATCATAATATTATAGAATTATATATTGAGTATGTAAACAAATTTTCTGTAATAATAGATGAAAAATTAGATAAGTAGAAATAAAATTATGAAGACTAATTAAGAAAGGTAATTGTTAGAAAAGTTTGTAGATTTTATTTTAATGTTGTTTTAGAAGATTATAATTTGGTTATTTATTGGAGTAAAAATTTTTTATTATTGTAATTCTATGACTAAAAAAAAATATTATTGAAAATAGTTTAATTAATTTAAATATTAATAATAGGTTAAATAATATTAAGAAAAAGTTTGATTTATTGTATTAATTAGAGGATTATAATTATTTTTAAAGGCAATGGAATATTCTTAATGTTTATATTAATTGTAAAAATAATAGTTTTTAATTGTAATAAATATTAGATTTATAAGTTTTTGTTTATTGTTATTATTATGTTAGTTATAAATTTGTAGTTATGTTTAGAATTAATGTTAAGGTGAGTTTTTTTCGTAATTTATATTTGGAAGAATGTTTTATTGAAACGGAGTTGGATTTGTTCTAGCAATGTTTTCTAATCTTTGATATTCTAGTATTACATCTTCATTAGTAATAAAAACTGATTCATCAAGATTGGAAATTTCAACATTTTGCCATATAGGACATCTACTAAGAGCAACGTATGCTTGGCCAGGTGAGAAGATATTATTATCTAATGCGAATGAGACTTTTGGTAAAGTTAAACCTTGAGTTTTATGAACAGTGAGAGCGAAGCAATTTGTATTGGAAATTGTGTGCGGCGGCAATTAATTCCATTTATTTGAAAGTAATATGTGATTTTGTAAATATCGATATCTATTATAGAGCCTCTGATAGAAAATGCAACACGGATAGATTGATCTTCAAGGTTTACATCAGTAACGACGCCTACGGTTCCATTACATATGCCTTGTTCGATTAGGGTGTTGTTGAGGTACATTACACGAGTGGCTGGTTGTAATCTGACATAAGAAGATAGATTCGTTTTCTGTTTAAAAAGTCAGTTAATATGTGTAGTTTCCCATTGATTTAAGTCTACGTGATCAATGGCTTGTGATATTAGAAATTGGTTATTAGAGACGGGAAGTATGTTACAAATTAGTCGGTTTATTTGTTGGGCGTTTTCTCTAAAGCCAACGATGTGTGTAGTATGAAGTAATATGTCTGTTGTTCGATAGGTTAGAAATTCTGAGTGGCGTTGACGTAGCATGTTCCAACTATTTGTAGAAATTCTACCTATTCTTACTTCTTCTAAAAGTGTGTAGAATTGGGGATTATTATTTTGGCGTTGTGGTGTTCTTAAGAAAAGAGGGTAAAATAATTGCCAAGTAGTTGCTCGAAATACAGGATGGTCAGAGACGGGAGGGAGTTGAAAGAGGTCACCAACAACTATTACATTAATACCTCCGAAGGCAATCGCATTGTTGTGTAATTTTGCAAATAGGTTGGACATATAGTCTAGTAATTCGGCAGAGACTATTGATATTTCTTCAATTATTAATGTGTCTATTTTTTGTAGGTAAGTTTTGAGTTCATTATTTGTAAAAGCTTTAGTAGAAAATCCTCCTTGATTAGATACGATTTGGAGTTGGGAATGTATAGTTTTTCCTCCTATATTTTGAGCTGCTACACTCGTTGGTGCAAGTAGTAAATAATTAGAGCGTTTTTGGTCGAGCATCCTTGTTATCATATAAATAATATATGATTTTCCTGTTTCCGCGGATCTGGTTATGAAGTAATATGGCCACTTAGTACCGTCGCTTTTGCCTATATACATAGTGATAATTGATAGGGCATGATACTGATCTTGTGGTAATTCTAATGTGGCAGTAATTGGAAATATATGTAGAAGAATTTTCAAGGTTTCTAATTGGGCTTGGATAATAGTTTGTAGGTTTGTAGATAATTGTTCGTTTAATGAGCGCAATAATCTATTTAACATTTCTGCAAATTAATTATTTAGACGGGTTAGTCGAGAACGATGAGAAACTGTGGCTTCGTTTTGTAAGTCGGTTAAGAAATTTGGAAAATGTAATATAAATTTTTCGCGATAAGTGCTATTTGGACTTGTTTTGTAATTGGTTTCATTTCTTGCAGGGATATTTAGAAGTAGTTGTTGGTAGAAGTAAAGTTCTCCATCGTCAATTTTGAGTAGATGGTATCTAATAATAATTTCTTTGGTGCGTTTTACAACGTAATTTTGTAGTTGGTTACGATAAATAGGGCAAGTTGTTGTGGGTCGAGAGGGTGTAATAGAATAT